CTGCACAGCCCGTGGCTGTTCATTCTGCACAGCCCGTGGCTGTTCATTCTGCACAGCCCGTGGCTGTTCATTCTGCACAGCCCGTGGCTGATCATTCTGCACAGCCCGTGGCGGATCATTCTGCACAGTCTGCGTTAATAGGCATGCTGTAGCTTTTTCAGTTCAGATCTCATTTTAAGATTATAATTTGATATTTCTGGCTTTTTTTTTGATGTAAAATTAGCTTAGGAGTGCAGCTTCTGCCATCCGTGTCATTTGAGTGGTTGCAATAGTCGCTTTATTTTACAGGTTTTGTTTGAGATGCATATCAATTCAAATTATTAATTGCAACATGTTTAGTCTGCTTTGTTTAAAAAAGGCCTGGTCAGATAAGCTGATATCAATGATCAGATCGCTTTTTATATTAATAGACAAGCTTCAGAAAAAAGTTTTTTATCAATTTTTACAGCTTTGTCAAACATCCTCTCCCATGTCCCCAGAAATCGTTATGGGTATCGGCTGATTTCGCCAACAGAAAATCGACAGCCCGTATCAGCTTTATTAATGTCGATCTGTCCATCTATAAATGTTATGCAATGTAAAGCAGCCTTGACTAGGATTTCACATCTTGAAATAACAGCAAAAAAACGAGCAAAAAAATAAGTCATAATTGCCTGCAATGGACCCAAAGCAGGGAAATTCATTGGTTAGTCCAGATGCTGGGGGGGGGGGGGGGTTTGTGAAGTCAGCAGAGGGGCTTGGAGTCCAGGCTGATGTTCCTGGCCTCTGTTGCAGGCTGGGTGGGAAGAGAGGCTCCACAGTGACGGCAGGATCTTCTACATAGACCACAGTGCGTAGGCCGACCTCGCTGCTGCCACCCTGTGGTCTTTCTGTGTACATTTACGAAGTAAGTTCATTGCTGCCCTTTGCAGACACCAAGACCACGCAGTGGGAGGACCCTCGATTGCAGGATGCAGCCATAACAGGACCGGTAAATGTGCAGTTCATGTCAAGCAGCAAAAACGGACAGCTGATGTCTGTGTGCTTGGGGTTCAGAGCTGTGCTTGGCTTGAATAGGGAAATCAGACGTGTGTTGGACGGGAGCGATCTTTCCGTCGTAAAATCATGTGGATTTAGTATGTTTTTCAGTATTAAATGTCAAATCCATACGAGCCAGCGGTTTGCACTGGCAGTGGGCTTGTGGTCTGCCTCCAGCCTAGTAGATTAAGGTGCTGTTCCCAGGCTTGTGGTCTGCCTCCAGCCTAGTAGATTAAGGTGCTGTTCCCAGGCTTGTGTAAACACTGAGTCAGTGTTTGTCTCCACCACAGGCTGTGCCTTATTCCAGAGACTACAAGCAGAAATACGAGTACTTCTGCAGGAAGCTGAAGAAGCCGGTAAGCGCCACCCCCCCTTTCCCGAAGCAGACAGTCCGGGTGCTCAGTGAAGCCCAACTGCACCCGCATTAGCATCCATTTAGCTGCTCAGGCCAACGCTGCCTGTGGTGGGGGTCCCCTCTGACTCGGCCCCTCCCTCGCCTCCTCCTGCAGTCCGACATCCCGAACCGCTTCGAGATGAAGCTGCAGCGAGCCCGTCTGCTGGAGGACTCCTACAGACGCATCATGTCGGTGAAGCGGCCCGAAAGCCTGAAGGCCCGGCTCTGGATCGACTTTGAGGGCGAGAAGGGCCTGGACTACGGCGGCGTGGCCCGAGAGTGGTTCTTCCTCATCTCCAAGGAGATGTTCAACCCCTACTATGGGCTGTTCGAATACTCGGCCACGTGAGTCTGCTCGTCCTCTCTATTTCGGGGGACGGGCCCTGGGTTTGGGAGGTTGGGCCTGCGTGCCTGACCCCACTCCGCTGTGTCTCAGGGATAATTACACGCTGCAGATCAACCCCAACTCGGGCCTGTGCAACGAGGATCACCTCTCCTACTTCATGTTCATCGGAAGGGTGGCGGGCATGGCTGTCTACCACGGCAAGCTGCTGGACGGTGAGAGTCAGCTTCCCTGTGCCAGTCCCGTACTGCCGTTAACCTCACCGCTGTAACTCCACTAAAAGGCACTGCACAAAAGCACTGCACCACTGGATACCATTGCTGCTAATCAGCACAGCATCACTGCACTCCGTGGCTACTAAGTCATAGCTGCACTGCTGCTAATCCACACTGTGTGGACATCACCACTGCAATGTCACTAAAAAGCTCTGCACCACTACACTTCAGCACTGCACTACAAAGCATTGAACAACTGCACACCTACAATACACCACTGGACCTCTCTACTGTCACTAATCAGTGTTGTGCAGAGATGTGGGGGTGATGTGTGGCTCAGTGCGTTACACCTCTGTGCCTGTGATCGGAAGGTCGCCGGTTCGAGCTCCGGCCTTGGCAGAATAGTTGCATCCCTGTCAGGTCCTTCAGCAAGGCCGTTAACACCTCAGAAGCTCCAGACATGCTGGATAAATGGCCTGACCCTGTGCTCAAACCCTGAGCTTTGTTCTGCATGTGTGTGAGCATGATGGGATTAATATTTGTGCAAACGGCAAATAAGGCATAATTCTGACCTGCTCCTGTGGCCCCCCACCCCACCCCGCCCCACCCCGCCCCCTCAGGCTTCTTTATCCGGCCCTTCTACAAGATGATGCTGCAGAAGCCCATCACCCTGCAGGACATGGAGTCAGTGGTGAGCGAACGCTGCAGACAGTCGCTAACCATGAGCGTGCTCTACCACCCAGCGCTGCTTATCGCGGAACCTTCCTCAAACATTCGTAAGCGGTCAGCGTAGCGTTCTGCTCTGCTCACAGGACAGCGAGTACTTTAACTCCCTGATGTGGATTCTGGAGAACGACCCGGAAGACTTGGATCTGCGCTTCACCATCGATGAGGAGTTCTTTGGACAGGTGGCTATGGATGCCATCCCACTCCTTCATGGCACATATCACTTTGTTTGCTACTTATGCCACACTTTTAATATGTCATTGCATTACTGTTTCCTGGAACCAGACTCAACAGCATGAGCTGAAGCCTGGTGGATCAGACATCATGGTCACCAACAGCAACAAGAAGGAATACATACAGTAAGCTCTGGTGCCCCCTGGTGGCAGTGGCCTGAAAGCACAGCTACAATGAAATTAAAATGTTCCCCCAGAGTTAAGCTGGCCGTAAACTTCAAATGGCATCCGGATAAAACGAAATCAAACACGCTGGCAAGAACAGACTTAAAACGACGCCACCTTGTTCGTTCTGTGTCACACCTCTGAAACACATGAATGCACATATTAATTTACAGTACTTGAAGTGCAGTGAGGTGCAAAGCATGCCAGTAACTGCATAATTAGTCCTGCTGACCAACCACACAGCATCAGATTTATGTCAGCCAATCGTGGACAGTGGGTGGGATCACAACAAACGAAAAAGTTCACCTCAGGGACGAAACGGTGATCACAACGGTGATTACACTTCATACAACATCGTATTGCCAAATACAGTGATTCCGTCAATTTCATCTGAAGTGTCCAGCCAGCTTTAATGTTTTCTACACTATAAATTATCTTAGTAGTACAATCTCTCTTAATAATTGTCCTGAGCGACACTCTTTCAAAACTCTTTATCCCATATTATTCCTGAGCAAGATATTAATTTCAATTGTTTAAATGTCTCACTTCATAAATGTGATGTGAAATGCTCTGGTGTTTTAGGAAGGTGTAGCCCTTGATTAGTAACTCAGGAAAGTAAATACCAGGTAAATGTATTTGCTAGACTATGTTACTGTTACGCGGAAGTAGAGAATGACTTTGCTGGTGACTTTGACAGCCTCGTCATCCAGTGGAGGTTCGTGAACAGAGTGCTGAAGCAGATGGACGCTTTCAAGGAGGTACAGAGATAAGGTCGCATCTCCGCGCTCGTCATCCTGCTCCCCAACCATCTGCCCGCCGGGCTCTCATCTAGCCCTTGAAATTCATCCTGTTCTGCTGCGATTTTGCTTAAAACCAGAAACACGGGCAGCGGTACCCAGTACAGGGGGTGGAGTTTGGGCATCATTCCTAACATCTAAATGCTCTGTCTCGCCGCTTTAGGGCTTTTATGAGTTGATTCCACAGGACCTCATCAGGATATTCGACGAGAATGAGCTGGAGGTGAGGATCTGTCCCCCCCGTGTCTCCCCCGATCATGGCCTTGTGTGTCCGCTGCGTTTTGAGCTCTGCCGTCTTGCCGGATCCCACCCCACAGCTACTAATGTGCGGCCTTGGAGATGTGGACGTCAACGACTGGAGGGAGAACACCAAGTACAAGAATGGGTACTGCGCCAGCAGCCCTGTTATCATCTGGTTCTGGAAGGTACCTGCTCTTTGGGGGGGTGGGGGTGGACGTCTCCTGAGGCTCTTCATGCTTACTGTCTGTGTCTGTTTCGGTACAGTCGGTTTTTTACAAATAGGTTGATGGGGATATGCGCTGTGGCAGTGTTAGCGTTCAGCCAGTGTTTCAGATTTTTAAACTAGTTTGAAGACTCAAATTGTACAACTTCATTGTCTAAACTGCTGATTTTGCATCTGGAGTAGTTAGTTACTTGAATTAGGGCCCTTTTCCACCACAATGTGTACCATACTTTCGGTACAGTGTTTTCGGTACGTTCCCTATTCCGCTGACTTCCAGTCGAGATCCAGTACCAAAATTTCTAGTACCTAAAGGGCCAAACCAACTGAAGTACTTTTTTTGGTACTTTGAGGTGGGACTTGAAAAGGAATAATCATTAAAACTGCAAAGCTTATGTTTTTTTCTTTTCTTTCTATGACTTTTAAACCCCCCTGTGCTATAATGTTCTTACAGAATTGAAGGTATGAAAAATCCTGATCTTAACCTAGCTGACTAGTGATGTAAGAATGGCACGTGCATAACATGCGATGCTGGTGTGTCACACATCCAGCCCTATAACATACTTTATTAATTTTTCAAATTCAATTCAAAATACCCCGCCTTGCGTTGTGATGTCATTCGGTGTCCGTTTTTAATGCCAATGGAAAACCAACAACTTGAAGTATCGTACTTTTGGTACCTTCTTGAAGTACCAAATGTATGGTACCTGGTGTGATGTGGAAAAGCACCAGGTACTGCATTACCATTTATCACTTGAATAAACAAAAGTATTTAATCAAATCCAGGTCAAGAGTTATAGAATTTTGTTACAAAACTAACAAAAAAATTGAGCAAAAAAAACATACATCATCTTACATTGTCATTTGATCTAGTTTTGTGTTATTTCATCTAAAAATGGTAATGAGATTTTTGGCTACTTATTTGGGGGACATGGTTAAAAAAAACATTCATGAGAATGACCCTGACAAGTAAATTTGCGAATCCTGCCCATGTCACGTACACGGGGTAGCCTGCAGGTGGCGCTCGGGTAATAAACAATGGCCCTTCTCCATCTGCGTAGACGGTGCTGCTGATGGATGCCGAGAAGCGTATCCGCCTGCTGCAGTTTGTGACGGGCACCTCCCGTGTGCCCATGAATGGATTTGCGGAGCTATATGGTGAGATGGCCCCCCGCCCCCATGAGCGGACGGCTGATGGCGGGTGCTGATGACGTCATTTTCTGACTCCCGCTCAGGGTCTAACGGGCCGCAGCTCTTCACCATTGAGCAGTGGGGGACACCCGACAAGCTGCCCAGAGCACACACCTGGTGAGTGAGCCCCCGCCCACCTGCCGTCCCATGCTGATTACATCACATGATGCGTCTCTCTGTCGCCCCGCAGCTTTAACCGGCTGGACCTGCCGCCGTACGAGTCCTTCGAGGACCTGCGAGAGAAACTGCACATCGTCATCGAGAATGCGCAGGGCTTCGATGGCGTCGACTAGAACGGGGCTCCGGTGGAGCTCAGGCCAATGGCCGTGCAGATGCATGCCTGCCAATCAAAACCCACCAAGAAGGCCCGCCTCCTTATTTTTGGTGTCTCAAACAATCGGGTTGCTCCATTTCCCTTCTGAGCCCACAGTCTGAGAGCTGCATGTTCATTCACGCAGATGCCTTCTGTAAATATCACTGAATGTGTTTTCAAAAAAAAAAAAAAAAAACACACGCACACTGCCTTATCCATTTTGACTAAGCTCTATATCTCCTGTTCCTGCTGTCCATCTACTCAAGTGTACTCCTGTGTATGTACGATGGTGTTGTGTAAATGTTTTTATACATAAGTTTCTTAACACATGGCTCTTAAAAGTAAAGAACTCTTTGCTCTTTGAGACGAAATGCACGTTTACACATTACTGGTTCCCTCTAGTGATAAATTCACAACTTTTCCTTTGACATTAATCAATTTTAAGATTTTTAGCATTTGTTTTTAAAGGAAAGAGTTCTTTTGTTACTGAAGTTGATAAGTCTTAAAGTGCCTTTATCTTCAACTGTCTGCAACTTCATATTCTGATTTAATTTTTAATCAAGATTAAGTATTGTGTTTACAAACATTTGAGTATAAGGATAGGATTTCCCCCCCCCTTATTTATTGCATAACAATTGCCATATGTATTAATTGTACTAAAATGTGATAGTCAAAATTGTATTCTCTGTTACACTTGAAAGAACATGAAATGAATTAGAAATTAAATATTAAAATGTGTATTTTATATATGCATCAATATATTTGATACATGCAATTTTGACTGTTAAAGAGGGTAAGTTATTTAGTAGATCTTGTATAATTGTTTGTTTAAAATCATTAAAATGCATGCCAGAGGGAACAGTGCTATATTTGGGACAATTTAATAAACAACGACGAGCTGCTTACCTCCCTTAGGCTCCATTTCTCCTGTCATTGACGCTCTCCGATTTGTGTTGGTACTTGATATTCGAATTTATGTAATCATCCCATTGTCATGCGCCAATAGACCAGAAGGGGGCAGATTTTTTTTTTTTTTAAATAACGTTGATAGAAAGACATCGAAAAAAGTTTGTTATTAATCATTTTGCCGTATTATCCCACTGTGAATATCAAACATTGTATAGTGATATTACGTAATGTACATTAGGGGTTGCAGGACATAAGCGCCGGTTCACGGGGGAAGTTCCCCTTGCGCGCGCACGGTACGGGGTGGAATTCAAACCCGAAGCCCTGATGGTGTGTGACCACTCACCATTTTTAAGCTTTCCTCTAATTAACTTTGAATTCTGTCCAGTAAAATCACTTTCACTGGAATAGCTATAGGTTATAATCCATATAGGTTTATGGGTGTGATGAATTAATTATCCGAAACAAAAACACGGTGTCATAAATTAGAGTAAAGAGAAGGCGGGGGGTGTGGAGATGCCCGATTGATAATGACTTCTACTATATTGATCCGTCCATCTGGAAGGTCCGCTCGTCCAGCCGCCCCCCATTATCTTTAGGTTCATTTGCCAATTCATTACATCTTGCGTAAACGCAGGAGAGGAAAAGCACTCTTAAATAAAGTACAGTGGTACCTAAGAACACGAACTTAATTCGTGCCAGAAGGCTGGTCGAGTTGCGATTTGGTCGCGTTCAAAGTCGAATTTCCCCACAAGAAATAATGTAAATTAATTAATTCTGTTGCAGACTCCCAAATGAGTATAAATTTATCTACCTAGCTCAATAATGATAAAAGCATTAACAATCAATATAAAATTAAAACACGAATATGCACACATACAAAAGCGATAAGCACGAAATAAATGACAATCCCATACTGCGAAACGAGAGCAGACACACATACCTTCAAGTCTCGCTATAATTTCCTTTATAAATTCTACAGTTCATCTCATTACTTTCCTCTTTAATTGGTTCGCTGCTATCACCGCTTATTTTATTAGGGGCCTTGATTACTGTATCAGTAAATGTACCGTAGATAAAGCACACAAAAAATTCACAGCGATTCATGTGCATCAGCATGCCAGGGGGTCCGCTTGCCTTCGTTTCAGCCCGCCAGAGACGCCACTCGATCTGTCCAGGTTTTAGTAGGTCGATCTGCTTTGTTTCGGTCGAGTTAAGAAGCGTTCGAGTTCCAAGGTTCTACTGTACTCACCAAATGTGAGCCAGCGTGTGCAGTCTGCAGTAACCTAAATTTATCTTCGGCTTCCCTGATTAGATTAACGATTTCTGAATTATTCCAGCGGGGCTAAACGATTTATTGATTGCACATGTTTTTCATTTAAGGTACCAAAATGAATGGTTGTATTTGTTCTTAAACCACTTTCGTCTTTGAATGTTTACTCACAAAATAAATTAGACCCGAATAGTCTATATTGTAACGATAAAACTTGAAACATGCAAGTTAGTTTCGCCGCGAAGGCCTGCCGCCGCACATGAAAGGTAGGCCTGCTGGGAATCGCTTCATGCAGCTGCACCTCCCTGCCCTTGGAGTCCCGCATACTTTTACAAAGCACTTGACTTTATTTGACGGATAAAGAGTAGGTCTACCGTCCGGCTGGGCCCATTGTCCAGCGCTTAAACAATCATAGGAGGTGTGAAGAAAAGGGGGGTGTTGGATCACTTTCCAAAAATATATATATATTGAAGAGTGGATCAATACCGCCGTTGGTTTGGCAGCTGTCCCTTTGCTATCAGTATTGCCTCTTAATTGATGCCGGTTTCTGAGACGACCGCACTCTGTTGTCTCAGCTGACATTGTGTCCCCCAACCCCGAGGGATATGCTCTAAAAAATTAAACAGAATTGCTGAGTAACACCAGCAATTTCTCATCATAAGTTTCTCCAAGCCACCACCGTGCTGTACGTGACTTAAATACATCCAGCTACACGTCGCATGCTTTTAGAATTTCCTGCTGCTCCAATTGTAGGCGGCTTGACGTAACTTTTCGTAAGACGTCCACCATAATAAGTACACATTGCCCAGTATAACGACATATGCCTTCCTGAACAATTAGTGGCGAGGCAAAATTAGCCTATTAAACCCGACTGTGACGTTGCAATCGGTCTCGATAAGCCTGATATTCAAACGCACTTAAGGCTCATCTTTGCTGTAGAAAACAAATGCAAATATAACTGCAACATAGGATGACAAAATCTGGAGTGGACTCTCCTATCGGTAACACCGTTACTCGTATGTAACTAGCGCATAGCCTTTGTTTTGACAGGTCAGGCGCTGCTGCAGGAAGCCCTCGGACGGGATGCGCGCTGCCCCCCAGCCCCAACCCCCGGCGCCTCCCCCGCCCTAATTACCCGGCCGAGCGAAAGCAGCCGCGCTGCGCTCGCAGTTTGTAACCTGAAGCGGTGCGCAGTGCTGCGGGGCGCCTGCAATCACGCTGAGCATGAGAGCAATGTTAATAAATGGCGTCTTTTAAAAGGAGAATCTTCCAGCGTCAACTCTGTCTGATCGCGCTCATTCCTCTTTCAGGTAAGACGAACCTAATGAAGGTTAATGATTATAATACATGCAGAGCCGGACGGGTCACAGGACGTGTCCGTAACTCTTGGTCAATGCGTCAAGTAGTTTGGCCTGAGGTTGACTTTATTGTAGGCGAGGTTAGCATTGCAAGAATGGATGCAACCAGATCTCAAATCATATCAAAGTTTAGCGAGTAGTAGTACTTTTAAATGTTTAAGTGAAGTCGATGGTCAGTGCTGCACTAGGCAGTATAATGGCCGAGCTGACCACAGCTCCGGGCACCCATTGTCCAGCCGATCATCGCGCACTTTAAACATTAATGTCCAGTATCGCGTATCTGTATCGAGTTTTACCGACCGGCGAATTGAACATTATTCAGACTACGGGTGCAAACTGCTGGGGGCCGTAAACAGCGCTCGCCTGACAGGCTTCCCGCTACACGTGGATCAGAAAAATCCTTTAAGTCAATGCATTTTGCTGAGGCAACCATGCTTCTGCTTCCCCAAGGATACCGAGTTTCTTACTGGGAGATTAATGACTGTAGACGGCGATAAGCATATTTTGTGTAAAAAGTGATTTTTTTCTTTTCATCTATCGGTTTTGTGTAACTTGTAAAGCAATACAGGGATTAGCATGCATAATGGAGGGGGGGGGGACTTGTATGAAGCTCCCCAATAGATAACGGGTCTCCCTTTCATCGTCTTACGGGAATGCTAGTTGTTGATGCGGAGAAATACAGATTGAGCACTCCGTGGTCCAGCTAAGTCAAAATTGAAATCTTAACAATAGATCTGCATGTGACAGTCAAAATGCAACGTTTGTATAATTAAGGGTTCAATGCAGCCAGCTTTGGTACTAACTTTTCTGTTCAGTTTGCTTCGATGACATGGATGTTTTTAATACTTATACATTATATTTCTGACGTTTGCCAATTCGTTTCGGCCCCATTAGATATAATTGCCACCTTTGATATAATTTGTAAATGGTATACTACAATTAATTCTTGATTTAGACGAAAAAGATAAAATGCGTAGATCTCAGACATAAACATGTCCCTTAAAGCTTTGTAGCCTGATGTTTCAGGTAAGATAAAGTAAAGTTTAAAGAGTAGTCTATGAGGTTTCTGTTTACTGATTGCAGCAGTTCCTCACCACTTCCTATTGTGTGTGTGTGTGTGTGTCTGTGTGTGTGTGTGTGTGTATAATATATTTCTCATGTATGTTTTTGTTTTTTGAGAACTGGTTAAATTTAATTAATTTTGATGTATATTGGCCATTAAATACCATTAGTCGAAGTTGTGTAAACATTAATAAATTGAAGCTTTGAGTAGCCGACTTACCCTTTTATGTGAAATGCAGACCATGAAAGCAGCGTTTGTCCTGCCCTCTCCTGCCATGTCCCTCTGTCTCATCCCGTCTCCCTCTCTCTTCAGGCATTCTGGCCTTCAGTGAGCTGTTCTTTGTCAGGGAACCCCATGATCTGATGGTGTTACCGGGAGAGTCGGCGCTCTTGGATTGTCACGCGCGCGGTGAGGTGCCCATCGCCATCGGGTGGCTGAGGAATGGAGCGAAAGTGGAGGACGACGAACGCGTGCGGCTCCTTCCCAACGGCTCGCTGCAGATCTCCCAGGTGGAGAGCAGCACCGCAGGGACAGTGGATGCCGGCGTCTATCAGTGTCTGGCTCAGAACCAGTATGGAGCCATCCTGAGTCAGAAGTCGAGATTAACTGTTGCAGGTGAGTGTCCCTGTGTGGCCCAGCCGGAGTGTGTCGCATCTCTGCCAGAGCTCGTCTCACAGAGGACACTCCAAACCTCACTGTCAGGATCCTTAAATAAGACTCTGGATGTCATGTGGGTGAGACTTATAATCTTCTGGAAGTTTGTCAGAGAGCTACCAGTGTTCACGCACCGTGTGACAGTCACAGCCTACGGTGTGACACAAGACGTGGACTACAGCTGGAGAGGTTATGTGTCAGCGGTTATAGAAAATGCAACTTCTCAAAGCATAATTTAGTTTTAATTTGTAAAATTCCATAATCCACGAATAGTTGCTTTGAGCAAAAGGGCATTAAATGTTACTGTCTGTGCTGTTTAATGATGGTAAAACCATTACCAAGCCTTCATTTCTCAGACTATCATCCTTCAAAAGACTTGCGCTCAGCTTTGCATTCTGGGAAATGTATTTTTGTGGGTTATCGCTTGCCATAGAGAAGAACTGTGGAGGTCTCCTCTGTGTGACCTGAGCCCCTGCGTTTGCTCTGCATAGAGGAGACGTCCATTCAAGTGCTAATAAGCAGTGGGCGGCTCTGGAAGGTCAGGGGCCATCTTCGATGGGGGCGACAGCAGCGCTGAAGCGGAGATCGCCCTTATTCATGCTACAGTCCTTCCATTTCATCGCGTCACAAAGTGTGTCGTTCCCTAAAAGCGCTCTCTTGAAATGCTTCTTTTTTTGGGTGAGGGGGAGGCTGGCTGAGGAGGGGGGCGCTAACCCTTTACCCTGCCTCTTGTAGCTGCCCATCCTGCTTTTCTGCTCCCTTTCACCAGGTGAAACCTTACCTCTCTGGCTGCCCCCCCCCCCGATTAGCTTTAGCCCTGGGGCTGTGGTGAAACGGAGAGGGCTGGCCCAGATTTCAGCATGCTGTGGTCAGGCTCACGTGGGAGGTTACGCTGGGGCTTATGGCGTGGTGATGACAGACCCCCCTCCTGTCCACAGAAAGGCATGGGTGGCATGTCAGTGCGGCTTTCATGGTGAGACGTCACTGAACTGGGAAATGGGCCTTTGCTGACCATGAGGAGCTTCCTGTTTCCAGCTGAACAAACGGTTAGCTAAATGCGACGCATGTCAGTAAGACTCCTTAGGTCTGACGTTAAGGTCTTGGAAGTTCGCAGGAGTTAAGTGGAAGTTCCTTACTGTGTGTCTGTGGGAATAGTCAGACTTAATGCTCCGTCGCTTCCCAGTTCAGGATGACGTTCGTGCTGGAACACAGAGGCTCGGCTTTGCGCGTTGCTGGATGAAGGCTGTGCATTAGGAGCTTGCATGACGTTCTGTACCTGGTCTCTGAGAAGTGCTGAAAAACGACTGACAGCCAAGGATACAGAAAGACCAGAATCGGCAGTGTAAATAAGGGACAGGGATGTCCCCATCCCCTGTTTGTCGCATTAAACGACTCTGTCGCCACCTTCTCTCCAAAGTACGGCTCTGCAGACACCGCAGGGAGCTGTTGGGCTACTTTAACCTTCCGACATCAAGAATTTCCAGACAGCTGACATCTTGACAGTTTGTGTTTTCTGGCCATGTGCCTCAGGCTTACTGCAGCGTGTGACGGAACCTTACAGCCTGGCGTAGCTGATGTAAATTAGCCAGACGTAGGACGTAAAATAGATTAGGTTTTGGTTCAGCCTGTGGTAACTGGTAAAAAAATTCCTGGATTGTCCCCGATTCTGATCTTTGTCTCCTCAGGACATCACTGGTGTCCTGGGACTACTTACCTCATATAGCATCTAATCATTTTAAATGCTGGAGATAAAATGGGCATTTTTTGTGGAGCATAAGAGATGAATAGTCACAGCAGGCTGCCGACAGAAGTCTTTAGGTTGTTCAGTAAGTTGGTTGTATAACCTCATGGGTTGTGTTATACCTGCGGCCATGTTGGCGCCCCGCGTGGCAGAATCTTAAAGGGAGCTGTACCTATTCCTACCTCGCGATGTTTTGTACGTGGCGTGGTTCTTTACAGGAGGCCTTGTGTTTGCGGCTCTGTGGTTTGACATGCTGTGCCGTCTTAGCCTTCGCATGCTGGTCTAGAGGCTCGTAGGAGAGATTCTCGTTAGCTTGTTGGATGTTCTGCCTGAGGGAGTGTAAAGTTTTTATAGCCATCTGAGAAATGCACACTCAGCAAAGGTGCCAGCTCCCAGATTTACCCTTCTGGGGCGGGGCCTGTAACCCGGCCGTACCTCCTCTCGTGGGGCTGCCTCTCTTCCTCCTCTCGTGGGGCTGCCTCTCTTCCTCCTCTCGTGGGGCTGCCTCTCTTCCTCCTCTCGTGGGGCTGCCTCTCTTCCTGTCCTTAGCCTCGAATGGCGGTATCAGCAGAGAGAAGTCGTGCCCCCAGACTGCATTCGGCGCTTCTCAGACTTTTTATTCACCCTATCTTTGTCCATTCTGACCATGCCCCCCCCCCACCACTTATTACGGTTACTGTTTGTGCAGAGATCACCCAAAAGGACAGCCAGCTTGAGCTGACCTTTAATGTGTACGGTTTTGCTGTAGTTGTATCTCCTCGAAGAGTTAGTGCCAGTCCAGACCTTCATGGCTGTAATGTGTCTAATTATTAGTTCATCTTTGGCTACGAAGTGGCCGCTACCATATCGCCAAAGTAGCTTCTTCCCAAGCCGCCTGACAGCCGCTGCTGTGGATCCGCTGCTTTATGCTTCTCTTTATTAAAGTGCTGAGCTCTCTTCACGTCTTCTCTGGTTGCGTGGAGACGCCCATCCCCCAGTGGCTGGTGTCAAAAGACCTTCAAGAAAGGGGGCTCTCATGTGGTGCCTCCCCAAGGAAGATGGATGGTCCAGAATGTGGAGACCTTCTGTGACCCCTGACCCCTCGTCCTGAGAGAGGTCCCTCTGTATAAGTACTCCAACCCGCATGGTGAGGATGGTTTAGACAGCAACGCAAACAAAAACTCCGCATCGGTTTCCTGTCCTGCCTTTAATGGTTCTGACAGTCCTGAGCCACATTCCATGAGCAAAAGTATTTCAAAAAACAGTGAGATTTTCTTTGTTCTTCTCAAAGGTGACTTTTTTTAATGCGTAATGATGTAACTGTTCTGAAACCAAGCCAGAATCTGCGAGAAACGTTCACGATCTCCTATCGCAGGTCCGGAACGTGAAATTACAATTCCCCCCCAAACTCCAACCCGCTGCCTCAGATGCAAACTCTTGAACTCTCACTACGGTACTAATGTTGCAAAACGCATTTTACATTTGACAGTTAACATTACGACACGTAAATCACAAAATTATTATTGTATTTTAAGTTAGGCTAACCTGTGTATTTTGTTAATTTTCCAAGTTAAACCTATTTTATTGCCTTCCAGCTGTTTGGACTAAAATAGTCACGTGACAATCATGTTCGAGCTATCATGCCTGCAGTAAAAGCTAGACTAGTTTCATTAGCTGAAGGTGGATGATAGCCCAGGGTTGGCAGGGCACCTGCACACGTTCTTCAGCAGTGTGGGACCATCTCAGTTTTCCAGTAGAATATTGTATTTTATTTTTTAATCTTATTTTTGTTTATGTAGTTAATGTGAAGGTAATCTTCCTGTGAGAGACAGGAATCCCATCCAGCCTCTCCACTCTGCCTCCCTGTACCCGGTCATGTCTTGGTTTGCCTCCGTGACTCTGTACTGGATAAGTGCTGATGGGTTGGTTGGTGGATGGATGGACGGACGGACGGACCGATGGATGGATTTCAGAGAGATGCTTTCAGACTTAGTCAGAACAGCTGTGATGCACAGTATCTTTACCTTGCCAAGTCTGTTTCCTAAATGCAGATACTGGTGGCCATTGGGCATCTGTGGACAGTCGGCTTATTGCAGTCCTCATGTTCAGTATGCATTAAGAAAATATTGAGAGAACTGTTGTGTTCTTGGTGTTTTTTTTTTTTTTTTGGTGAAGTGTTTTGCAGTTTGCCACCATAAGGCCTGATGAAGGTCTGCATGTTCGCCTGGTGGCGCCTTGGGCCGCGTTCGCCTCGTGGCGGCTTACACCAGGATCGAGGAGGCCTTGCTGGGGTTGGTATGGTCCTGCTTGCTGTAGATGGTAATGCAGGCTTCACCCAGGCTTTCTATAGTTCTGACCCACCTCTTGCAGACATTGAGCCATTGTTTATAAACCTTAGTCCAGGCCCTTGACCTTTTGCTACAGTGAATATGAAGAAATCCTAATCAAGCTATTTACTGAACTTTCCTTTTATTTCCTCCTTTTTATTTCCGTCCTCTGAACCCTTGTCCAGAACCCATAAACCCAGAGGCTTATGCTGTCGCCACTAAAGCAGGGGTCTGAAAAACGTCGGATTTGGATTCCGGGTGGGTGCGCGAGCTTGAGACCCAAAGGACACACGCATAATTGCACGCATCACTGCAAACATGGCGGCACATCCACATCTTCCTGGAGGGCATGTAGGCCTAATCACACGCATGTTTAATAAGTGTTAATATAAGCATGTTGACCCTATAAGCCAGAGCGTGTGTCGCCGGTTGAGGATGTGCTGCTGTAAATGGTTGCCAGGCCTGAAATGCCTCCCTGATGTTCATTAGCAGCCCTCGGATCCTCAGTGTTATGCACATATGACCTTTCTGCAGCTGGCCGATGACACCAAGAAAAAGGCTCATTTTTAGGAACGTTGGCCCTAATGGTTCAGTGTCAGCTCTTAGTCATAACTCTCACTGTAGGATTAGCTCTTCTGAAGGCAGTCACCTCTGTCGGTCAGTACCCAGGTGAGCCTGAAGGAGGTGCTCATGCTATGGCACAGCTGGACACCCGGACGGGAGTCGTCCACCCCTGCTGCAGGTGAACTAGGTCCTCGTTGAGGATGCATGGTAAATCCTTTGCTCCCCGAGTGGAGGAGCAGGACTATCTCGGGCATTTAAAGCTTGAGTGCTGTTTTGCCCCCTCCCTATTTCTGTGACACCCACTGTAAGGGTCACATTAATCAGGTTTCTCCCATGATTGATTGGCACAT